CCCTTGGAGAAGTAAAGGAACATTTCCCAAAGTGCACTCCTTCAAAACACAGCTTTAAAATGGTTAAAAATTAAGATTTTTGTGGTCCAGTTGGTTTAGAAAACTAAGTCACTAATACCAAAAGCCTTTCTTGAAGATTCTCATTGTCCACTAGCAAATTAAAATCCCCCGGTGGGTGCATTAATATTAACATCAAGCTTAGAAGTCATCAGTCAAGTTACAAAAGACCAATTTCAAAGTAATAAAAGTCAAAGACATATGTCATGATTCATTTAGTGCACTTTCCATCAATCCTGTTAATTGAGGTGTGATGAGTTATTTTACCATTTAATTGGCTTGCTTTTGGGCAGACACAGGACTTCAATATCCACTCATGGAGCAGAGAGAGAACATGGGAAGAGTGGGAAGCTGAGGGCCAAGCGTGTGACTGGCTAGTAAACATGTTGAAGGAACACATGGGCCAGGCCAGCGATTCCAGGAAGCTCGCCTCAGCCCAAATCCTTCCCCCAGCAACCGGCACAGAATAGATGCTTCATAACACACATTTACTGAATGAATACATGACTGGGAGAATAAGGGGGGAAAAATAAAATTAAGTAGATTTGATTTTATTATGCCTTTAGTGGAAACTTAGCAGTCGGTTTTCTATTAAATTATTCATACAGGTTTTGTTTTATAGCTTTAATTACAGTTCTTACATGGCAAACAGGGAGCTCTGGTGGCCTAGTGGGTATAAAGTTGTGCTGCCAATCCAAAGACAGGCGGTTCAAAGCCACCAACTGCTCCAAGGGAGAAAGATGGGAATCTCCTTCTGTGCAAAGCACAGCCTCTGAAAACCCAATAGAGGGTTAGCTATGAGCTAGTTCTGATGCTACAGCACACAACAACAATAACACATTTTGTAACAGCACTCTTCCCACTTCGACCCTGTGATTCTAGTTTCCATTCACCTTTATAGCCTATCCTTTTCCATCTGCTGAGCTCTCTCTGAGCAAATACTGCCCTGATGATCTTTTTTTGTTTTAATTTTATATTGGTTTGCTTACAAAGTTCATATAAATTGTGTTTCACACTATCCTTCATTCACATTGCCTTTCATATAATTATTCCCATTCATTATGGTTTATAAAATAAATGACCATTGAACTATACCCACCATTACCCTGTCTTTCCAGATCCCTGCTGGATTGTTCCCATTTCGTTTACCCACCCCTCCCATCACCCAACAAATTGTGTGTCTCTATGATTCCCCCCCCCCGCCCATCCTCACCCCTCAGCTGCCACTCCTTCCCCCCTTGGATTTTCATACATGTTTTAACAGTAATCTATTTCCATAACAAGTCTTATGCAGTATTAGTCCTTTGAGACTGAGTTAGTTCACTCAGCATAATGCTTTCCAGTCTCTCTCAAGTTACACAGTGTATTTTGAAATCTTTGTTCCTGAGCACTGCATAGTATTCCATCGTGTAACTATATCACAATTTCTCAACTGGACATTTGAGCAGTTTCTACACTCTTGCAATTGTGAATAACACTGCTATGAACCTTGGTGTGCTGCCCTTATAATCTTGTTTGTTAGTTGCTCAAAGCAGTGAGTGTTGCTGTTACTCTTCCCCCTATGAGCCTGTTTATCGTGTGGGTGAAAGTTGAGTCAGAGGTGAATTTTGTTCCAGGCTTAAAAGGACCGTAGTCCAGGGTTTCCACCAATTTCAATTAGACTAGAAAACTTGATCATTTTTATGATTTTAGATTTTGTTCCACACGCCCCCCCCCCTTTGTCTGGAACCCTCTACTGTGATCCTTTTTAAAGCATTCAGCAGTGGGAGCCAAGCACCATTCAGTTCTTCTGGTCTCACTATAGTAGAGGTTGAGGTTTGTATAATCTCGTAGTCCTTTGTGGTAAATCTATTAGTTTGTAATCTATTAGTTCATTTTGTGTGTCTTTGCTCTTCTTTCTTCTTTGTTCTAGAAGAGATGAGACCAATAGTTGCACCTTAGATAGCTGCTCAAAAGACCCGAGTCACTACCACCAAAATAAGATAGAAAACTTTGTTTTTTGTGGACTGTAGCATATCAGTTGGCCTTGATGTCCTCCTAGTTAAACCTGGTGTGTTTGTTTTTTTTTTAAAAAAAAAACCAAAAACCTCTGAGAGTTCTGGCATTAAACAATTCATTCAACTTTAATGTAGCATTTTAAAACTGCTTTTGATCATAGACATAGACCCCCTTTCTTTTAGTAAAATATTAGCGTCACATGTTAGTATCATTTGAGAAAACACACTGAAGTATATAGAATTATAGTTAAAAAGAAAGTATGTTATCGCGAATAGGCACTCAGAGAGCTGAGCTCTAGGTTTCAAGGGAAGAATTTGAAAGAGACCATTTGTGAAAAGACTGAAAGAAAATAACCTCAAATCAAAGTGCTATTATTTCTAGGTGGTGAGATTATGGATGCTTTTTATTTCTTTCTCTCTTCTTTATAGAGGCTTTCTCTGACCTCTTGGATGAGACTAAATTCCCTTGTTATAAGCTCAAATAGCACTTCTGTCTTGAACTCTGTTCACCCTTGTATTGCCATTGTTTTACACCTGTCTCCCTTTGGAGAATTCAAGAGGAGAAGCTCCTTGCTTATCCGGTTCATAGCTGTCATCAGCACAGGAAGATTTTTCTAAAGTGAACAGAAATTTCAACGTTGGTTTTATGTAATGCTTATATTTTTATAATAAACATGCTTTTCTCTTCTACATATATTTATGAGCTCTGATGGGTTCGTGGTAAGGAGTTGCACTACCAATCCAAAGATTCAAATCCACCAGCTGCTCCACAGGAGAAAGATGGGCAGTCTCCTCCCATATAATTTACTGCCTCTGGAAACTCACTGGAGGGTCAGCTATGAGTGGGTTCTGGCTCAAACGACAGTAACCACACGAGGGAACCCTGGTGATGTCATCTGTAGGAAGTTGGGCTGCTAACCCAGAAGCCGCCCCTTCCCGGCAGTCGGAGTACAGCAGTGGCTGTGTGGGAGAAAGATGGGCACTCTCTTCCCATGAGCCTTACAGCCTGGGAAACCCGGCGAAAGGCCAACTGTGAGTCAGTTGCACCTTGATGGCAATGAGTTTGTGTTTTAATGAATTAAAATGGGCTTCGAGGCACCTCACAACACCAACCACCTGGTGGCAGCAAGAATCATGCAAGACTGTCTCTGCAGGTAACCAGGTTAGAGAGAAGGGTCTCTAAATCTTCTCTCAAAATAGCAGAGCCAAGACGAAGCATTTTGAGCACAGAGCACATGAATATGTGGGAGCATCAAGCTCTCCTCCAGGTGGGGGAATCCACAGCACGGTAGTTTTATCAGGAAAGCGTCTCCTGAGGACCACTGTACATTCACGCGAGTTCAGAGGAGACATCGTAACTTAAGTTTTCCAGATGAAGTAAGGAGTCCGTGTGTGCAGTGTGTTACATGTCAGGTTGCTAATTGATTTATTAGCAGCTCCAAAGAAGAAAGATGGCCTGGCTCTCTATAAGGATGTTGTTGTGTTGTGCACCATCAAGTCAGAACCAACCCTTGGCTGCCCCTCCAGGGGTTTTCAGAGGAAGTAAATCACACAGGAAGAGATTGCCTGTCAGTCTCTTGTGGAGCAACAGATGGATTCAAACCATGTGCCTTAGGGATTGCAAGCACAGTTTCGTATCATTAGGCCACCAGCTTCAGAAACCAGATAGAAAGTCCCTTTGAGGGATAACAGATTAGTAGCCTGGCATGTTACACATGGCACCACCAGGGGCCCTTCTTTTTTTTTTTTAATAATTTTAATGAACATTTACAGAGATTTTGGATTTCCATTCATTCATTGCTGCACTTCTCTCCCTGCCCAGCCCTCCCCACCCCCCAGTTTGCTCCTCTCTTTTAAAAGTAAAAGAAACTTCCTCCCTGGTACACAATCTCCCTTTACCCCTCCCACCACCCCAAACCCCAAGTACATTCCACTATGCAACCTTAATTGTGGACTCTTGTGATAACCATAATACCCTATCATACATCACTTTTAAATTATTCACTCCCTCATCTATTTCAGTGCAGTATACACAATTTATCCAGTTTTTCTTAGTCTTACCCCCACCCTGATATCAGTCCCATTTTACAGCAGTGGCACCATGCAATATTTGTCCTTTTATAACTGAGATATTTCACTCAGCATAATGTCCTCCAGGCTCACCCATTTTGAATAATATTACATGAGTTCCTTGTTTTTCACTGCAGCATAGTATTCCATTGTGCAAATATTCCACAGCTTCTCTATCCATTTGTTTGTTGATGGGCACCTGAGTTGTTTCCAACTCCTTGCTATTGTGAACAGAGCTGCGATAAACATGGGTGTGCATATATCTGCTTGGATGTCAGTTATGGTCTCTTTGGGATATATTCCCAGTAGTGGAATTGCTGGGTCAAATGGTATCTCTATTTGCAACTTTTTGAGAAAGCGCCATACCCCCTTCCACAGTGGCTGCACCATTTTACATTCCCACCAACAGTGAATAAGGGTTCCAGTTTCTCCACAACCTTGCCAGCATTTGTTGCTTGCTGTTCTGTTAAATTTTGTTATTCTGACTGGGGTGAGATGATATCTGATAGTTGTTTTGGGGGCCCTTCTTAATAGTTATAGCAAAAGAGCTTTTCAGTCTTTACAGGAAGACCCCTACCCAGCAGGCTTGAATAAGAAAAGATGTACCCATACCTAACATGTTAAGTTCCCAGTACTCTATTCAAAGCCTTTCTCTTTACTACCTTTGATAATTTTGCAATCTGTTTCGTCATCCTCTTAACAAATGAGCTAACCGAGGCTCGGTGAGGTCAATTACATGGCTTGTGGGGGCGTGCCTGTTGTTCAGCTCTCGGGCTCTGGGACTCCGAGGCACATCCCCTACTCTTCCTGCCCTAGATCCCTGTCTGGGCTCAGCCACAGTCTTGTCCCCTCACCCTGTCTATCTTTCTTTCCCAGTCACGGGACAGAGTTTCATTCTGAAAAACATCACCACTGACATGTCAGGCTACTACATCTGCACCGCCAGCAATGAGGTGGGGTCTGACTTCTGCAACATCACTTTGGCTGTCCACACTGGTAAGAGTAGCTGGGGGGCAGGGATGGGTTTTAAAGACCAAAAGAGTCAGCTGCAGGCCCCATGGGACTGAATTGGGGCAGCTAGCCATCTTCAGGGCCACCATTCACGGGGTAGCTATGGTAACTCATTCAGAATGGCTCCCCTCACCTTGAAGGCCCAGTTGTTTGGAGTAAGAGCTTGAGACTGATGCTTTGGGCTTTTAGGAGTCCAGAGCCAGCAGCTGTGGAGTCTGGAACTCATCCTTTTGGGATGGGGCCTATCCCTTTCAGCTAACTCAGGGAGCCGCAGAGGCTGAATAGCTTGGAGTCTTTGTCTGCGGCTCCATCGTGAGTGCAATTCCCAGCCCTCCAAAATCCAGCCTTTTATTAGTGCAGCCAAAGCCTGTAGCTGCAGCTGTAGGGGGTGCGAGGAGGTCTGAGTCTGGCTCAGGGCTGGGAGGGAAGGGCCTGGCTTCCTTCTGTCCCAGGCTCTGTCCTCCCCTCAGGTGCCTAGATTGGCGAGGTGAGCACTCTGTCCCTTTGCAGCCTCCATGAATGTGGCCCTGTACGCGGGCATCGCGGGGGGCATCACTGCCGCCCTCATTGTCATTGGTGTCATCATCTACTGCTGCTGCTGCCGAAGCAAAGGCGAAGCTGAGGACAAGGAGGATGAGAGGCCGTAAGTGTCTGGGGACAACCTGTGCTCACAGCCTCATCCACTGACAACACCTGGGTGACAGGCTTGGCTTTATCACCCCATTCTGTAGCTGAAGGAGCCCTGGTGTCACCGTACCTTATGTATCAAGCTGCTAACTGAAAGGTCAGAGGCTTGAATTCACCAGTTACCCTGTAGAAGAAAGACAGGCAGTCTTCTGTCATTGAAATTTACAGCCCCGGAACCCTGTTGAAGGGTCGCCATGAGTCTGAATGCACTCCCCAGCAGTGGGTGGGTTTGGTTTTATATGAAGCTGACAAAGGAGCAGTGGGCTTCCATAGTACAATCCTAAGTCTTGCCACCAATGGTTATGTTTTTCCTTCTCTGTTGCCAGGGTGGGGAGCTCTGGTGGCCTAGTGGTAAGGAGCTGTGCTGCCAATGCAAAGACATGCAGTTCAAATCCACCAGCTGCTTTGCAGGGAAAAACAGACCATCTCCTCCCATAAAATTTACTACCTCGGAAAACCTGCTGGAGAGTCAGCTATGAGTCTGTTTTGACCCAAACAGCTGTCAGAGTGGAGAGTGTTACAGAGCCAGTGACACGTTGGCCCAAGGAGGCAGCCTCAGCTCTAAGGGAATCATGTCTGTGGCACCTTCCTGCCCCATTGAGCCCAGAACTCAGTGTCCTGTCCCTCTGGTGCGGTGGCCGCCCTTTCCCACGAGGTCTGTGGGAAACATTCCCTTCCTCCTGGTCCTTCCATCCTGCAGGAACCGGAGGATCTACAGCAAGCCAGCGGAGCAGCTGCAGCTGCAGGAGCAGGCCAGAGCGGAGGACGAGGAGGATGACTACAGGCAGGAAGACCAGAGGAGCACGGGGCGCATGTCCCCTGACCACCGCGGCCGGTGACCGCGGACTGCCGCAGGCCATGGCCAGGAAACCCTACGTCTTCCTTCTTCCCCAAGCCCTCCTTCCCTGTTCTTTCATTCCAGGCCCTGATCAGGATGCTTCTTCCCCATGTCCACTGCTGGAGGGTTTCACGCTCGTGGGATTCTCATTCATGAGTGACCCTGCCAACTGCCCTTTTCTGTGACACATCCTAGTAACAGGGCCAGGGCATCCCCCCAAAGCAGGCAGTAGCCACCTCTCCCTGAAACAGAGCCTATATGAGCTCCCTGAAACACAGCACTGGGAATGGGGTGCCCAGACCTACATCACTCAGCGTAATCCGTGTTGGCGTCAGAGAGTGGGACCCTGCCCTGCTCACCCAGGGAGCACCAGTGGATTCACTCAACACATTGCTGGTGACTCAGCACTTTTCACGACTGAGTGAAGAGTATGTGAAGCTTTCCTATTATCTAGCCAATTTAGGTGTTCATATCTTGCTTCAGAACCTTCTCCACAACGTCCTCATTATTCCTGATCCTTCCAGCAAGACTACTGGGCTTTCACTGCACACTCCCTCGCATGGCCTTTGAGCTCTCCATTCTGCTCAGAATGCCCACACACTTTCCATTTCTGCCTGTCAAAATCCTACCTGCCACTCAGGGCCCAGCTCAAATTATAGTTATTTCTAGAACCCTTCCCTGATCTCCCACATGCAAGGAAGCAATCTTGTCTCCCGTCCCCAGTCAGTCACGGGCCACGTGGTACAGCTCCCTGCATTCTCTGTCCTGGGATGCAGTGTAAGGTCCTGGGGTTGGAGCAGGGCTCCCTCCTCTTGTTCTCCGAAGACCTCCAGCCTCCCCTCCTGTGGGAGCTTAAACCAGACACCATCAGGTGGTTCCCACTCAGGGCAGCCTCATGGGTCCCAGAGCAGAGCTGCACACCGTAGGGTTTACAAGGGCTGATTTTTCAGAAGTTGACCGTGGAGCTCTGGTGGTGTAGTCTGTAGGGAATTGTGCTGCTATCCCTAAGGTGGAGCCTGTCGGTTCGAATCCACCAGCAGCTCTGCGGGAGAAAGAACAGCAGTCTCTTCCCATACAAACCCAATGCGGGGGCGGGGTCAGCTGTGAATGAGTTCCAATGCAATACCAATCAGTAAATGAGTGAGAGCATTCTTTCAAGGTGCCTTTGGGTGGACTTGAACCTCCAACCTGAGCATATGAATCTTTTGTTCCACTGAGAGATTCTAATGGAATCAAGCACAACTTGGAAAAATTTCGTGCTTTCTATCTTCTCATTTCTAGTTTTCTTGATATGATTGTAGACTGATGACTCCCACCCAAAGCTTTTTTTTGTTAAGTGATTTAAAGAAAAGCTGGCTTAGAACTTGCGCATACGTGCATATACTCACATGCACTTTACTGTAGACAGACTAGGATGTGCCATGGTGGCTGCATGAACCACCGGCGAGTCGGACCTCCCTCTGCAGTCCACGCCAGCTTCTCGTTGATCCTGCTCCCTCATGTCTGCCCTTCCTGGGTCGCTCCTGCCTCCCCTGTCTAACTGGCAAGACTGTCCCGCTGCCTCACTGACAGCTGTCCCCTGTGTGTTGAGAGCATTTATTTTACTTTTCAGCAGGCTTTTCAGTCTCTGCCCAGAGGCTGATCTCTCCCAAATGTAGTTTACCATTAAATAAATGCTGTTGCCTTTTCAGGATGTTCAGACAAGCCATTCTGTAAATCTGTTGTTCACTTGTGATTTTTAAAAATACATATTTTTATATATCCTGTTTTAATTTCTTGCTTCATTCAAATGCTTTTAGGAATAATAAAATTTTTACTGGAAATACTACTGCTTTAATGTGGGTTTTGTTCACAACAAAGCAGAACTTCTGCTATATTTGTGTCTACATGTCTCTGTATTCTGCGTCTTGGGAGAGGGGAGGTGATATAGTTGGAAAGAGGAAGAGACAGCATGAATTCTGCAGGTCCCATTGCGTTATCTGGTCAACCAACTGAAAGAGATCCATATGTGTTTTCATTTTTTTAAAAAGTGATCCAACAGAGTGTGGAAATTGTCAAACAGGATCATTAAAATCACATGCAAGTAAAAATATTGCTAAAGATTACTTAATAATTTTAAGAATAGTACACCGGCAGGGTCAAGAAGACAAAAATTCTCACCACCGGACCAATCGGTAGCATCAGGATGGATGGCGAAGAGATTGAGAGTGTTCACAGCTTCAGTTTGCTTGGCTCCA